AACCAGTAAAGAGTAGAAAAGGCCAAGGGAGCCCAGTGTCTCTTATTCCCACCCTCAACCCTACTGTAGGGCTCCTTTCTACCTTCAGGAGGTGCCCTCCACCCTTGCACTAGGGTGGAAGATGGGTGTAGGTGGAAATGGAGGCAGAGGGAGGCTCTGTCATTGAGCTCCAGCCTCCCATGGGGTGGGGCTTGACTTTCCTGTCTATTAAGTGCCTTCACATGTCACCCACAGAAGACATCCTTGGGAACATTTCATGGGGATTGGATCAGCAGGCCAGAGAGTGTCTGTGTGTGCTTATTTCTTTTTTTGGTCTTTCTCCATACTTCAAGATTGAAATGCTCCTGAGCAAAATCACCCAGTACCTGCTGGGTGCACATGAACTTGGATGTGAGGTCCCAGCTCAGGTTTCCTTTGTTAGAGAAGGTCAGCTCTTTCAGTTCTCCTGGCTTGCTTGCTCTGATGGACTGGGGAGGCAGCACCTGGTAAGGGCATCCCTTAGTGAAGAGGACACCTCAGGTGCTAAGATCTGCAGGCTGTGCTTGTTGCACTGCAGGTGGCACCCGGTTGAGCCCTGCAAACAGGTATTGGGCTCAGATCCTGGCAAATTAAACTTTCTTGGGAACACACTGGGAAAAATTGAGGCTGCCCTAATTCAGANCCTGGCAAATTAAACTTTCTTGGGAACACACTGGGAAAAATTGAGGCTGCCCTAATTCAGAAGCAAATACTTCTGTCATAGATTTGTTTATCTTGGTGGGCAGCTTGGGTAGAGGCATTTAAAAAATGAGAAAGTAGCCTCCAAAGTTCCTTCAGTGTGATTTTTACTCACACTACTAAGAAAAGCTTTTTTGTGTGTGTAATTTTAAGTGTTTCAGGTTCAAATGTCTAGCCTGTGGGTGGAAAACACTCACGGTCATCATGAATTAGGGTGTGGGGCTAGGCATCTACAGGGTGACAGGTCCTTTTGGAGAATGCTAAGACCAGGGGCCTCAGGCCTCACACACAGATGGAGGAGGTGCTGCAGCACAGGGCACAGGCCTTTGGGAACTGTGGTCACAGCAGCTGTCATCACTGAGCATTCACTCAGGCACAGCACTGAGCCATCTAATCCTTACAACCAGCCCCTGAGATAGGTCTTGTCATTTCCCACTTTACAGTTTCAAAAACTGAGGCTTAGGAATGATACATGAATAACCAAGGGGACATAGCCAGTACAGTAGCCCTAGGATTGGAACTAAGGCGTGGTTGCCAGCAAAGCCCCTGTTCTTCCAAATCAAGGATGACTAAATGTGTAGAGGTCTCGGAGACCTTCTTCAATCCAGGAATTGGCCCACAAGAATGGATGGAGTCAGGGGCAAAGCAGGGCAGCCCTAGGAGTCTCTCCAGAGCTCGATACAGGAAAGAGCAAAGAGGTGGAGCGGGCCTGCCTGCCTGAGGACCAGTTTTGAAAAAAGTGAAACTCATTTCGGTTTTCCTCCCTTTCCCTTCCTCACCTGCCCCAGAGCAACTGTTGTGCAGAGACCTGGTGGCCTGAAACCTCCACCCCGGGGCAGTGCTCAAAGCATCCACCTCCCCAGCCCTTTCTGAGAACCCCCAGCACTCCATCCAGTCAGGACCCCTGTTTCAGCTAGCTGTCTTCTCTGACAAATGCACCTCTTCTAAGAATAATTGATGGTAGTTGGATGTCTAACCTCTCCCCAAGGTCCTTGCTTTGTAAGAGGGAGGCCTAACTAACGTCTATGTCAAAACCACACTGTCAAGGTTGGCAAAGACTAGCTGGTCTACTGGGCTTGAGAAATGTCTGAAAGGGCTGAAGGTGAATACCCAAAGCTCCAGCCTGGGCCTGGTTCTGTGGGCTCCAGGCTGTCCCTGGGTACCAACTGCCTAAGGTGATTTCAGCACCAAGGGGAGCGCCAACTCCAAGCTCACATAGGAAGGGAAACTTCCAGCAGCCATGATGCCTCACACGCAGTGCTAACAGGGCCTTCCTGTTGAGGTGAGTCCCAGCCCGTGCATCTGGCTGTCATGGGTGAGAAGGACCACGGGGACATCCACTGTCCTCACACCCTGCCAGGCCATCCTGTTAGCACAATGCCACAGAGGATGCCAGTTTCACTAGCACCGAAATCAGGTTCACAGGCTTTTGGGTGAAGCCCACATTTGAGAAAACAGAGGTAAGGAAGATATTTGGGGCTTTTCATCTTGACATCATCTTCTGTTAGGACTTCCCATCCTCCCAACATTTATTTTTCACAAATGCTCTTTTTTTTTTTAATAACAAACATTGTGGTAAAATATGTATAATGTAAAACTTGCCATTTGAACTATTGTTAAGCATACACTGCAGTGGCATTTAGTACATTCACAAAGTTGTACAGCCACCACCTCTGTTCCCCACACTCTTCCATCACCCCGAGCGGAAACTGCACTTACTAATCAATAACTCTCCACATCTGCCTCCCCAGCCAATGGTAACCTCTAATATATTTTCTGTCTGTCTGAATTTGCCTATTCTAGACATTTCATATAAATGGAATCACACATATTTGTCTTTTTGTGTCTGGCTTATTTCACTTAGCATAATGTTTTCAAGGTTTATTCATGTAGCGTGTGCCAGAACTTCATTCCTTTTTATGGCTGAATAATATTCTCTTATAGATTATATATTCCGTTATTAATAATATATTCTAGTATTAATAATGGGATATATATGATACATTAGAGATATATAATATATTCTATATTATATAGAGAATATATACTATATAATATATATAATAGGATATGTATATTTGTTTATGTACACATACGTAACACATTTTGTTTATCCATTTATCTGTGGATGGACATTTGGGTTGTTTCCACCTTTTGGATATTGTGAAAAATGCTGTTGTGTACATTTATCTGAGTCCCTGTTTTTAATTCTTTGGGGTATATCCCTAGGAGTGGAATTGCTGGGTTCTATGGTAATCCTATGTTTAATTTTTAGAGGAGCTTCACAAGTGCTTTCCTAACATTGGGGAGCTGTGACCTCTGCCTGTGCTTTAATGGTACCTAACAACAACAGGTAGTTTTGGATTGATACCAGCAGACTAATTCTAAAATCATGCAAAGGTAGGGCCGGCCCGTGGCTCACTCGGGAGAGTGTGGTGCTGACAAACACCAAGGCCACGGGTTCGGATCCCTATATAGGGATGGCCGGTTCGCTCACTGGGTGAGCGTGGTGCT